TCACCCTCCATTCTGCATTTCCATCTGTCACAGAGGCTGTTTTATGTACGTATCTTTCTTCCACTTAATACATCTTGTAGTCAGATACAAGCAATGAGACTCAAAAATGCAGCTATACCCTAAGTCTCCTGTTTGGTAAACAGCTGAACATAGACATTTCTGACACAGGCATGAAGCGTGTCAGGCCAGACTAACTTCTACCATCATATGACAGCACTGCTCTTGGGCTTTTCTGACATATTTACTGCAAGGCTCACCACTTGCATGCACAGATGCCTAGACTGAGCTGTGTCAAGAGTGTGATCAAAGAAACCGATGGGGTAGGAAAAAGGTCTTGATACCACACCAACCTTCAGCTGACAGAAAATAATACTAACCAAATCTGCATTTGGTGATCATGCAGAAGACTCAGGAACAAGAGTTTTAGCTCAAATGTTTCCACTAACACAAGCTAGGAAATGTAAGTCTGTTCCTCACTTTCCTCTTTTCCTCAGTAGAACAAAATCATGCTTAGGTGAAGTAGGCTGGAAAATGTACGGCTCCACTGCATGCCCCATGGTTCTGCAAAGGATATTCTGCTAATGTCAGTACATCTGCAGGGCCTGGAACCCCTGGTGTGGATTGTGCAGTGAGCAGAGGGGCACATAGCTGCAGTCACTTAGAGCCTCGACTGTAACAAAGGTGGCAACTAGCTACAACCTGCTCCGTGTTCATTAGGTGTCTCTGGAGAGGCGTGGACATGTCCTTCACTCTGCAATCTGACCTCAACATGGAGTCACCCTCCTTTAACAGAGCTTCTACGTTTCTGGCACATCAGGGAGTCTCTGAACAGCACTTTCCAATTCCTAAGTGGAGAGCACCAGCTTTGTTTTAATGGGACACAGTTAAAAAAAAACCAAAACAGTTGTCAAATCACTTCCTTATTCTATTATCTTCAGCCTATCAAAAATAGCCAGGTAGTAAAATTCTTTTAAAAGGCTGAGGTATCACTTCACAAGCTGTGTGACAAGGATACATCAAATAATTCTGATCTTCATTTCTCTCTAGAGCAAAGCTGGCAAATTAAGTGAGGACCAGTTATACAGCATTCTCCAGAAGAGGGCTTTAAAAATTTTAATGATTTTAGCTACATACCATTTCATAAAAAAGCTGATTCCAAAAGAAAACTGAAGCATAATGCATTTTATATTGATCCAAAGAAATATTTCATCATTAAAGCAGTAGTGCTGAACAACGCTGACATTAAAAAGGAACAACAGAAACTGGTGTCCCTAATAGGCCGTCCTGGAACCAATCCACCCTCTGAAAGGAAAAGCTTCAAGTCAACACAAGCAGCAAGAAGGGTATTTCCACCCTACTGCTACTACCTTGTGTTTTCACTTACCCTTGCCCTGAAGTGTTTCTGTTGAATCCTCTATTCTTTTGACTCCCACCAGCTAATTCTCCTCTGTGCTCTCACATGAGCTGTCAGTCTCCTTCACTCCTAGCTGTATTCAAGTATCACTTGTGAAGTCCCCAGATGGCAGAATCCCAAACACACCTGAGACAGCATTAAGATCTGACTAATCATCACCGTAGGAAAGCCCCTCTATCTCTAGCATAATTCCACTAAATGAGCTGGCTGAAAAAAAAATTACAGTTACAAACCCAAAGGAAACCAGGGAAGGCATTTCCATCTTGGAGGTAGGTATCCTAGTGCCTGTACAACACAAAACCCAGCTAGCAACACAGGCTTAGTATATAAAAGCTACTCTAGCAAAAAATGTGGAATTAGGCTGTCATACTTCAATCAACTATAGCAAGGATATTTGGTCTTAGACTCTTAGCATTACAATTTGTCATAAACTGTGATATATCTAGTGCTGTATCAGCCTCTGCTCTCCAGAGGTTCCTCAGGGCAAACTTGCTGCCCAGACACTGAGATTTATTAACTGGGCCTATGCAGACTGCTTACCTATCACTTCAAAATCCCAAATTCTCTCTGACCTTCTGGCTTAGGCTTTCAAGCAACAGAGATGTGACACCCATAGCCGCAGGCATCATTCAACTGAAGAACTTCTGCTTAGCAGTAATGCTCCATCTAGATACAGAAAGTGTTGACCACACAGGTCACAAAACACTGTGCAGCATCTCTCCCCAGTGAATGCTACAAATAGCACAAGTATCTCAATATTATAAAGTGTTACACTCTATGGGTATGAAAAAAGTGTTCTCACAGGTTTCTGTGCCAGAAGGCCAGTTCTTACAGAACAAATGTCTCTGACAAGGAACTTAATGCACAAAACAAAGGGGGAGAGCAAGTGATCGTAAGAAGCATGGTAGTACTTTGCTGAGCTCCTCCGGGATGGATTCTCTCCTACAAAACTTCTAAATTAACTGGCCAGAGAAAAGTAACAGTATAGAGTTTCTGTGGTTGACACAAAAAAGATGCTGCCCTTTAAAATTCCAAAGGTGCAAACACAGGACAAATTTAAGGTTAAAAATGAGCAGCAACTTTTATGGGGAAAAAAATTGCTGATATTTTCTTCACTCTGTTTTTGTAGTTTTATATATTTATACTTATAATATACAAGTGCATGAGTAGAGAAGTTTAATTTAAGTTGGGGACTGTCACAAAATCCAACTCAGGTCCTGCAAAAAGCGATCTCCTCCACCTGAGCCATTACAGCATCCTACTGCTCTAACAAAAGTTACTTTGAGGTGTCCCGTGGCGTGGCCAGGGTTGCCAACAGCAGATAAAGACAGTAAAACTATGGAGGGGGGAAAGCTAACAGTTCCTGTCTGCCTCTCAGGTGACTTACTCCACCTACTGACCAAAGAGGGACAGAAGCATCAACGACCTAAAAAAAGTGCTGGGTTTTGGCAGCAGGTTAATACCACCAGGCTTACCACTGGCTGCTTCTGGGTTAGCACGTTTTATTTATTTAGAAGCCATCAGCAACAAAACAAAGTAATTTTTTTGCCAGCTGTCCATATCTTCAAATATGACCGCAAACCAAGCAAAAAACCACAATCTTTGAACAGATAGATTCAGCCTTTCCAAGTATTTTCAAAATATCCTGTTTGGAGCTATTTTCTTGCAAACAAAAGGGGCAAACAAGGCAGAGAGACTCACTAGCTGGGTTTAGAAGTGCCCTGCCACATCTACAACAACCATTCAACAGTCTGGAAAAAAACAAAGTGAAGACTGCACGCTGAAATTCTTCTAGTGAAGGTAGGCACAGGCAAAACCCACAATACTACTGACACATTGTCCACAGGGACTGAAGTTCCCACCTTTGCTCACAGCCAATGCCTGGGATCAACTTCTTCAGTCAGAGTATGGCACGTGTGAATCTGCAGCCTCTGGGCTGCCCCCTGCACCAACCAGGGCAGCTGCACTTTGCTCAGTGTTACAGCTCCCAGTGAGAAAAGTACAAGCAGTTACCTGCACACTTCAGATGCTGTTCACTTTCACTCCCTTTCAAAGGAGTGTCCCAGTTTAACAAGAAACTATTCGGCAGTCAGATTTTGTTTTGTTTTTTTAAATAATTTTTTTTTTTGCCTAGTATCCACAAAAAAAGGCTAGCAAGCCTGACAATATACTTGCTGCCATTGTGTGGCACTTTGTTAGAAACTCCAAGTATAAAGACTAACAAACATTTTATAGAATTCAATCTTAATAGAAAGCTACAAGTTGGAGGATGAAGATGACAATGTAATTAAGAAAACCAAATCCTTGTAAGGCCTCATCTTCATAGCTGAAACATTTAGTATGTTCGTGTTTCATATTTCAAGATTCTACATCCCTCTGATGAAGCATTTACAGAAAGTTCAGTGTAAACAGGAGTGAAATTGTCTTTCTCAACAAGGTCAAGTAACCAAGTGTTTGAGCAAGCAGCTGGTTAAGAAACATCATCAAGTAGCTACATGCTGTCTCAAAATGGTTTGCCCTCTTTTTTTTTAATGAGAACTTTATCTACACAAAATTTTGAATTAACTACTAGCAGCTTCCTGGCAATAATCCCAAAATGTAACAGCAATCCATAGTTCCTCTCACCACTTGAGAGTGAGTTTTCTTCGAGAAATAAGACAGGTCCATAAAAGTGAGCTAGGTATTCTAACATACACCTCACAAACACAGTATGTGATAAATACCTCACCTATGTCCCACCCGTGAAATTATGTCCTTTATTTCAATGCACAGAGAAGTTGATGAGCTTCAATATTTATGGCAAAGTGAGGATAAGGTAAAAGTAGGCAAAGCTATTAACAGCAGTGCTGAGATGTGGGGAACGTGGCAAATATACACCTAAGACAGTCCAAGAAAATGCTTAATAGATGAAAAGAAGGAAAAGAAACAATCAGTAATGTCCTTTTTATCTGCAGGCTTTATGGTTGTTCTTTTCTCTGTCCTTTCATTATCACTAAGTTAACGCACAGCTCGTGACTAAGCAGATGCACCCTGTAACTCTATACAAGAACTATGTGCAGAGAGAGAAACCCTGTGTTCATGGTTGCCTCTCCCCTATTCAATACACAGAAGCCATTTTAACATAATTTCAGGAACTTGTTCCCACTGGAGTAGCACACAGCACGTTCTGTGACTGCTTTCATTCTACAGAAGAAAATAAAGTGGATGTTTTCAAGTTTATCAGTTTATACTGAATCAAAATCAACCACCTTGAAAATAAAATACCAACATGTGCATTGATGAGCTGTCCAAATCTGTCTAAGCCTGTGTTTCAGAAATACATCATCCCACCCTTGCTGTCTCACGTGGCTTCCAATGTGGTCCATGCACCATCATTCTGAACCCCAAGAAGCTGAATGTCTGTCTTCAGAGAGAGCATCAGTGGTGTCATTAGTCTGAACAGTACCCAAACTCCTCTCCTAGTCAGGAAAAACACAGGCACTGCTCAATTCCATTCCCTGACAGGTGAGGTCCCCAGTACTCATCTTACAGATGGATTGACTGGACAAGTAAGAAAAGGCATAAAATTGGCCAGTGTTGTTTCTTGTCATTACTTGATCATATGAGTCTCTTCATCAGCATCATAAAACTCCTCATCTTCACTTTCACTCCCTGCAGAACTGTCCTTGTCTCCAGACTAGAAAAAAAAATTAAGTTTTTGGTTAGCACAGAAGCCACTAAATCCACCTTAAAATACATAGACATGAACCATTACACCTCTCTATATAGAAAATATATAGGAAAAGACAGCTCAAATCACTGTATTAAAACATTATAGAAGACATTATGTGAATTAAGATTTCTGTGTCCTTTGTTCTTCAAAATCCCTTTAAAGAGGCTATAGTTTCTAGTGGATGGACAGCCTCTGCTCCATTAGTACAATCAGAAGATATGCAAGAGTGAGATTGGCTAGAATGATTCTGAGTGACAGTCTACTCAGCTTTCTTAGTTTAAGTCTAAGGTTCCTACTCTGTGGTTAGCTACTGGAAACAAACTCAGAACATACAGGTTACTTAAGAGCTTCTCCACTCTGAATTTTTCTTCATAAGTAGCATGGGCATTTTCCTATGCAAGTTTAATTAAAAAGATTCCCCTGCAATACTCACTAAATGTGTTATAGAAAAGGCAAAAATTATTAACCACTTGATATGTTCAGAAAGTAAACTCCCTTTTGTAAGCATACCTACTCCACCCAGAGTCCTTTTAACAATACAATTTATAGCATACCACCAAACTAAAGTCAGTTATTACAGCCAACTGATTTTTTATCTGGCCAGCATAACATTTTTCCATAGAACTGGTATAAACTACACCAGTTAGATTCTCTTGCTAGAACCAACTCCATCTAGTTTTGAGTATTTTGGATTTTTTTTTCTCCCCCCGTATGCTTGCTTTCACCCTAGGACTTCTGCCTGCCTAAGTCATATGCAAAGAAGGGCAAGAAAGAAGGTGAAAAATAGAGAAATGGAAATCATGTTCCTGACTGACAGTACCACGCAAGCAAAATCTGTAGCTTTAGATCTGTCTTCAGAGGGGTTTTGCTACAGCAATGTGCGTTAACTGCAAAGGAATTTCAAACAGTTTGAGCACTAAGACCTGTCAGAAGATATAAAGGGAATCATGTTAGGCTTTTTTTCTGGATTTCTAAAATTATTTGAGGAAAGTCAGGCTATTGCTGGATGCTGTCCAACTTGAATATCACATTCGTGTATGTTAACAGGGACAAAACCTCCATTCTGGCCAACCAGAACGCGTGTTATCTTGAAAGTGGTACAGAAGGACAATGGATTCCACAGGGGGAAATTCAGGGTATGCCAAATAAATTCTACATCTTTCTTACAGCAGCTTTGCAAGACCTCTCCATGGCCTTGTCAAATAGGGTTAATGTTTAACAGCTTTCCATTTTATCAGCGCTTTCTTTGTGAGCTTTAAAATAAACCCCAAATGTGTCACAGACATTCCAGATATAACTTCATCAAAGCTACAGGATTACTTCAGGCCTGAACCAATGACTCTTTGACTTTCTTCTCCATTTTGACTTAATAATTTTAATCCAACTGGGGAAATGTCTTCCTGAAAAACATTCTCCTTTTTTTTTTTTATCTCTCCCCACCTCCACCCCACCTTTTGGGGATCCTGTTCAGGTTGGGATTTTTAAGAAGCCTGCAGAAGCAAAAGGAGGGAAGATTCAAACCTGAGAAGATTGCTTGACATTAACTGAACCAAGTTGTGCAAATACTGACAAACAGTATGTGTCACCTCAAGGGGTAATACTGGCCTTACTTGGTTAGAAAGGAAAATAAAAATGCAACTTTCCTCACCTACAAGATGTGACACGTGTATTGTTTGCTAGAATTGTTTTTGGTAAGTCATTGGCATAGTTAAGATGTAGTAATGCTGTAATTACCAAAATAACAGCTGGAGTAAACTTCATGTAAATGTGCATGATGGATTTGTGGAGCCAGGAAGAATGTGGTGCCACAACACGTTATCTGGTATGGTTAACAACTGTTTATAAGAGATGCATGTGAAGGAGCTAAACTATAACATTTTTACAGAGCTGCCTCTTTTAAGCTTTCTTCAAGGGTGCTTTTGTCAAGTATTATTACAGCTAAAACTGGTAAACAAGGCAATATGTTGAAGCCTTTGAAAGGAAGTAACAGTTCTCATTCTAGAAATGAATGTTGCTCTGCCTCCTAAGTTTGTCTACCTGTGAAAATTAATTGAACAAAATTAAAAGGTATTACAAGGATCCTGTCTCACCTCAACCTAACAGAAAGGTGTAGGCTTTTTTTTTTTTGCTATGAGTTGCTCTTGAAGTCTTTTGATCACTTATTCAAATTTTATTAGTCCATCAATACTTAAAATCTTGGCACCAGGATTTAAAGATAAAACCTTACCCAAATTCAAACACCTGCTTCCAGCTCTCTAGATACTTCTCTCTAATCCCACTCCATTCACAGAGGAGCAGCCATGTAAAAAACCCTCCACATGACTGGAAGATGTACACACATCAAGAGGTGTCCAGTAGTTTGATAAAATAAGTATAAAGCAACATGAAAAAAAGGAAACCTCTACTGAAAAACATCCTGCTGCCACATTTATTTATGCTTATGCCTGGGAGTTTTGCAGTTCCAATATTTTCGTGGATGTCATTTCCCAGAATCAACAGTGGGGCAGATCTCAGAGGTTAGTCTAGCTTTAACCCATCTAAAGACTCTCTAGGACAGACCTAACAACTGACAGTGCTGAACAGCCAGCACAGCTCAGGGCAGAAGTACAGTGGGTTGCATTTAAGGCAAATAGCCCTTCACAAACAGACTTCTGTTTTCCTTAACATCTAAGGCTTCTCAAACTTCCTTGGCCAGCTTTGCATAAAGCATGCTGCAGCAATCCATCTAGGAGATCAGAGTGGCACAGACACCACTGAGACCCAAAGGAAAAGCTTGTGAGCTTTTGGCCTTGAAGGGATGAATTAACCCAGCTATGTTTCAGCCCATATTTCCAGATGACATTTCAGACTGTGATGGTAAGGTTACTAAACTATCATTTGTATCTCCTTGGGGGCAACCCTCCACAAGCCAAGAATCACTATCCTAATCTATTTTGAGTGGCATATTCAAGCTGACAGCTGAAATAAACACAACAGAAAAGTACTAGGAAAAGAAATTAATATACCTGTGAGCCATCTAGGGCTTGCAATGACATGGCTTCGTCACCCAGCCTCCAGTACGAGCACACCTGCAGGTCTGAAATAGTCTCTAGCAAAGGGCTGTTTAAGGTCTCTGGCAACAACAAGCTTAAAAGCCCAGACAGAAGACCAGTTGCTCCAAACACAATGTAAGGCAGAGACCACTGTACAGATTTCTGGAAAAAAGAACAGAAAGAGTTAGGTCAGACTGGGTCCCTCTAGTTCATAGTGCATATTAAAGCACATAACCTGCACAACCATTCCACCTGGCCAATGTTTGTGTTGGACTCGATCTAGGGTTGAACTCTATGACCGTAAAGGTCTTTTCCAACCAAACTGATTCTATATTTAGCATAAGAGTTGCCAATTCTACTGCTTGGGTGTTTTTTTTTTTAACCAATTATTGTCATTGTCAACTGTATCATATCAATACTATTAGATCCACATAGATTTTGGGGCAGACTTGAAAAGAAGCATCTGTTGAATTTATACTCAACTCTTGTCCATAACGTGTACTTTTTAACAAATGCAACATCACTGTGTACTAGGGAAGAGATATCACAGAATCACAGGCATGCAGGTTAGAAGTGATCTCTTGTGGTTGTCTAGGCCAATCACCTACTCTAAGCACAACTGCAGCCCACTCTAGAGGGGGTCAATAAGCTTTGTGCAACCAAGTATTGAAAAAACTCCAAGGATGTAGATTCCTCATCTCAGCAGACTGCTCCAGGGCTGCATTAAGCCTTCCAAAAATAATGTTTTCCAAATTTCCTATCTAGCTCCCAAGCGAAAATTTGTGGCCATTGATCCCTGCTGAAATGTTCCATGCTGCTGGGAACATCAGAGGTGCATTATTGCCTCAAGCTTTCATCTGAAGCCAATGTGCTCTAGATCCCTGACCATCTTGGATACCCTCCATTGGACCCTCCCCAGATTTTTCAACACCTCTCTAGAACTGGGAGGGAACTTAATCCGTGGGCCACATACATTTGTAGGCCTGATGTATCTCAGCATGAAGTCTGGCTGTGATGAGAGGACACTGCTAGCTCCCATTTAACTTGTCATCCACTGTTGTACCCAGGCCTCTTTCAGCAAGGCCATTTGGTTCCCAGCCTGCACTGACCACGTCATTAATCTGCACCAGAAACGTTTTATTCTTCTGGTTGACATTCATGGGATTTGTTGGCCCAAAAGGTCCCACAGGACTCAAGATCTACCATTTGGTGTGTCAATCACTCCTTATTTTTCATCCTCTAAAAATAAGAGGATGCATTTTGTCCTAACTTAATAATTGTCACCAAATACTGAGCCTGTCACTATCACTTGGAGCCTGGTGGTCCATGCAACATTCAAATCTAACATCCCTTTGATTCAGGACACTTCCTCAGCTTTCATCCAAGAATGCTGTGGGACAGTGTCAAAAGCCTTACAAAAGCCCTTCCTGCTCTCCTCCTATTCCTCATCCACATTACCTTCTGTGATGAAATGGCTGCCTATCAAATCAAACTGGTTGAGAATGAGTTGTCATTAGCTAACCCATGTTCAGTGATCCTGATCACCTTACTGGCTTTCACGTGCTCAAACAGAATCTGAGAGGGCCATGTTTCCAGAGATTGACTTGGAACTGCTCACCCTGTAACTCCCTGAAGCCACTTCCTTATCTTAAAGACCCACATAGCATTAACTTTTTT